TACGTGGGGTTGGATATTGTAAAAAAAGAAATTATTACACACTAGTTATCCGTTGTTGGCTCGCATACGGTCTAATATATGTTTGATATTTTCTAGTGAGTCTAATATTAAAACGTGCATATAATTAAATGTCAATGATTTTCTTGGTATATGTATAATGTACTTAGTACTAGTAGTAATTGTTGTGCGGATGGTCCTACAAGAGGCCCAGCGTCACCTAGATCCGTAAAGTATCACTGTAACTCCCGCTTATTTTGAAAGGCTCCAAATGGCAGTCTCCCCCCGCTTTCCGACACTGAACCCCCGTTCACCCCCGTGTCAGACCATAGTCCTTCACAGACCAGTGCCAGACACTAGGCTTTATTTAGCTCCTGCGCTAGACACTGATCCTATCTCGGACTTTGTGCTAGACACCAGGCTCCATTCAGCCTCGTGCCGGACACCAGGTCCATATCACTCCCCGGAACTCCTTCTCTACCATTGGATGTTCTAATTTGGCAGGAATACTCTTGGTGATTTTACCGTGCCTTACCGAGAGACGATCGTTTTCCCAAAGATCTTGCTCCGATTTGCGCCGCCAGATGCCGCCAGGGCATTGGCCGCGCATTTCAGAGCACCATGTTCTGGGTGGTTTTGAACCTGGATCCTCGGCACAGTAAGCTGCCACGCAGCGCCCTGCGCCACGATCGCCACTTTTAATGTACTTATGTATACGTGAAATTTTGTACATATCTTATTCAAATATTCTAATACTTTTATACATCATATAATCATTTTATATCATAAAATTTATCGAAAACTTCTTCTTCACTTAACAACGCGATGCGTCATTTTAGAAAATGCAATGGGGACAATATTTCGTTTATAATATACCAAAAAAATAAACCATGCACAAAAAAGTAAGGAATAAACACAATCATAAGTCCTATATAATACAAATTTTAAGATCTAATTCTAATTTAACTACACGCAACAATTAAGCTATATGCGCTTCTACACATGAATGAACTCGTTACCGGTCAATAACATCTGGGCGACAAAAAACTGCTGATATGTCTCCGTTTAATAATGTGCTAATAAACATAAACATCCGTGGTGAAAATAATTTTCATAATATTATAATATTTTTAAGCATTTTTTATATTTAAAATTTATGAAGATTTCTAAAGAAATACCTTAAACTTTTTCAAATTTTTCATCTTATTTTTTTTCGAAAATAATGGAATAAAAAAATTTTAAAATATTTATCAGAATTCACAAATATAAAGAATTCTAAAAAAGATGTAGATTTTCTAAACATTTCTGAAAATAGTGTTTCAGTTCATATAAAAATTCCGAGAAATTTAAAAAGTTATAAAATTATACAGAAATTGTAAAAAATTTTGAAAAATTATGCGATGAATTAAAAATAAAATTGTGCTTAGAGATGCAAGTAAAATTACATAAATGCTTGCAAACTTTAAAGAAAACTTACGTGGTATCGGTTTGAATAGAATCGCGCAGGCCATTATGATGGCCGTGAGTACAGCCAAACTCCTTAGAGTTCCTTCGAGACCTAAACGTCGCAGCAGGATCTCCATTATGGACGGCAGCAACGTCGTGAATATTGAACTTCCGGCTGTGACGATGCCATTCACTAGACCCAGATACTTCTTGAAGTAGTGGCCCAATATCGCCAGGCTCGGGGTGTAAGCGAGACTCGCGCCGAGCCCGTACATAACGCCGTATGTTAAGAAGAGCATTTCCACCTAGACGAACATGAGACGTGTACAATTCCGAAACAGATTTGAGTGTAGAAATTACGATCGTTATAGAAGCGTCTCTTTTTGTTTTCCGTTACCTTATCTGTCAGCAGCGAGGAAAGAAGCAAGCCAACGGACGCGATCGCGCCTCCCACGAAGGTGGTTGTTTGGATACCGAATTTATCCGTCAGTATACCGGCGACTGGTGACAGGAAGAACGTGGTCCCGATAGTTAACGAACCTACTAAAGCTGAAACAATTTCGCCAATTAGTTCCATGAATATTAATAATATATATTCTCACAAAAATAGGTTATATATATAAAAAATTATTATACGTTTATCTTTCCTAAATCAAAAATATTATTTTACCAAGTAAAAATTGTCCAAAAACAAATATGAGATCATACAAGTTGCCAAGTATTTGATTAGACATAGAAATAAAAATATTTTTTTAATAAACCGTTTAACCATCCAAAAGTACATGCAGCAAAAGTTTAATGCCATTATTATCTTTCCAAATATTTTTAAGTTTCATAAAACAGACTTAAAGTGACTAAAATGACCAATGGGATCA